TAAATGACACTGGCTGGGAAGGGGTTATCAAAGGGTTAATTGTGTGCCTAGCTAGTGTTTCTGTGGGTAGAGTGTGCTGTTTTTACTAGGCAACCTGCTAGATTTTATTTCCTGAATCATAGCAGTAGTGGCACTTCAGCGCCAAGCGCACACCCCCCAGTGGCGGAAATGCAAAATCGTTATATACATGATTTTGCACAGAAGGTCCCCTCTGAGTAGTACATCTGCTATAGGGCAGATGGCAAGTGGCTAAAGTGAGAATAATAAACAAACAACTCAAAATTTACAAATACACATTTCTGACATTTCAAAAAAAATCAGTGACCAATATAGCCACCCTTTTTTTTCAATAACAGTCATAAGCCTTCCATTCATGGAGTCTGTCAGTTTCTTGGTCTGTCGATGATCAAATTATTGTGTAGCAGCAACCACAGACTCGAGTAAATGGTTCAGAGAGGTGTACTGTTTTCCTTCACCGTAAATCTCCATTTTAATCAAGGCCAAGTTCCTAATAGGGTTTGGATCAGGTGAGGAAGGGGGCCATGTCATTATTCTTTCATCTTTAAGGCCTTTACTGCCTAGCCATGCTGTAGAGTACTTTGATGTATGCGATGGAGCATTGTCCTGTATAACTATCATGGTCTTCTTGAAAGATGTAGACTTTTTCCTGTACCACTGCTTGAAGAAAGTGTCTTCTAAAAACTGGCAGTAGGTTTGGGAGTTGATTTTGAGTCTATCTTCAATCCGAAAAGGTCCAGTTAGCTCAACCGTTATAATACCAGCCCATACCAGTACCCCACCTCCACCTTGCTGGCATCGGAGTCAAAGTGGAGCTCTGTACCAGTTACTGATCCAGCCATGGGCCCATCCATCTATCCCCTCAAGAGTCACTCTCATCTCATCAGTCTGCAAAACCTTTGAAAAATCTGTCTTCAGATATTTTCTTGGCCCAGTCTTGACGTTTCAACTTTTGTGTCTTGTTCAGTGTTGGTCAGGTTTCAACCTCCCTTACCTTGGCCGTGTCTCTGAGCACTGAACACCTTGTTCTTTTGGGCACTTCAGGTAGGTTGCAGTTCTGGAATATGACAGCACTTGAGAATAATGGATTCCTGGAGCTTCACGTTTGATTCTTCTCATATCTTTGGCAGTTAATTTGCATGTCTTTTTTGGTCCACTGTACCTGAGGAAAAAAAGCTGCCTAATAATTATGCAAACCTTGATATAGGGTGTTGATCGACTTGAGGCCACACCCTCCATCATTACACAAATGCACATCGCCTGATATGCTTAAATCCAGTAAGCATTTAAGTTTATACAGCTTGGAGTTGGACAAAATGCATAACAATTACGATTTGGTCAAAATACTCACTTGCTTAATGATTGTGCACACTGTGTAGAAGTCTCAAGATCACCTGGCTAGATGCTATCAGTATCTCGGAGCCCTCTTTATCTGGGAGATAAATCTTTTGGAATACTCAGTTGATCTGGTACCATGAAAAAACTCACTTGGAGTGGAACAAAAAACAGATTTCGCCCTATTTACCAGCCAGCCTAGTTTCACCACTGTGAGAAGGAGCACCTGTCTTTCAGCGTCTTCCCTTCTGAAAAATATTGTAGAAATAAGGAATCTGAAGTCTGAGATAGGACATGACCTCTACTAGCATTTTGGAGAAGATTATTGGGGTTGATAACAGACCAAAGGGCAAGACCCAGAGCTACCAATGAAAGACTTTCTGATCTGACAGAATTAAAAAGTAAGCAAAAAAGACTACTGTGCTGAATGGATTGGGACATGCAAATAACCATCCTGTAAATCGAGCGCGATTATAAAAAAACATCTATGAGGGTCTTTAGTAAATGTTCCCCATCCTGAACTAGAAACCTGTTCAGTTTCTTCAAATTCATGATCATTATAGGTTTTCCTAATGATTTGTGTACCAGAACATATGGAAATAAAATCCCTAAAAAAGTTGATCTTCTTGAAAAGGAACATACATGTTCTGCATGCATTAGCCAGTTTTGTTTATTCGATCATTAGCTTGCATGAAAAAAAAAAAAACTGACCCAATTTCCTCATACACACACTCAAAGGGAATGAGAGAATCCTTCCCACTGTTATTGTATTCTGACAGCAGGGAGACTCCCCCCCCCCCACCATTAGAATACACAGCTTATTGCCTGTGGTGCTGATTGAGCAAATTTATACAGACAGGGCGGTTGAACAAAAGTTGATCAGTAGATTGACTTCTGTTCAACCACAGTTGCCACACATGGATGGAAAATCAGCTGATCCCTGCTGAAACGGTTGAATATGGATCCATGTATGACCAGCTTTAGTGTCTTCCTTACTAGATTTTAGAGATTATTAGAAAAAAATGGAGTCGTTACATGATTGCTTTGAGCCATCTACACCATTAAAGATCTATCATTAGAATTTTGATTTTACAGTTCTGTCCTCTATGAGACAAGGTACACATAATACTTTGTTCCATGTTTCTAAGTGCTTTTTAACCATAATTTTGAGTACTGGCCCTTGCCCTCAACCAACAGATTCTGAGGAGACAGCTGTAGTATTTTCTCAGCTATAAACACTTTCCTGAGACAAGCAATGGCAAGAGGAATACAGGGGGAAGGGGAACATGTCAAAATAAAGATCTCATTAGAGGGCAATTTGAGGTGACAAGTGAAACCAATCATTAAGCTTCTGATATTCAGGAACTATTAAACTGTTGTAGATTCTGAAAGTTACAGTTACATAGTTAGTCTAGCTGAAAAAAAAGACACATTCATCTAGTTCAACCATAAAAGGGAAGAAAGAAGTTCTTTGGAGTTACCTTGGGAAACCTGTAGTGAAACAATATGGCTACCATCGCCAACATATTAATCCAATGTCTAGCTGGTTCAAGGACTGTTTCTGAAGCCAGACACTTAGGCGCTTTAGTCAGATGTCCAAACATTTTATATACGTGGTGGGTGATTCCGTTTCCTGAATTTATACTGCATACTGGCTTGATGCATCACCAAGAAGATTGAAGGCAGGTTTTATTTGTATAATCTCAAGCAATTTAAACCCAGTAAGAAATATCTGAATTCTTGTAGACCCCATTATTGCCTTAGGCAGGCATATATTAAACAATTTTTTTTGTTCACCCAGCAGATTAAGCGAAAAAAAAAAAAAAAAAAAAAAATGTGCCGGTTCCCCCATCAACACAATCAATATGTTCTGACAGCAGGAAGCCTTCCTGCTGTGAGAACACAATGATCAGTGTTGCTGGCTGTAGCTGGCAACACTGATCAAACAAAAAACCCAACAAGATGGTTTTACTGAGGTCAATCAAAAGATTGACCTCTGTGCAATCAGCCTGCCTATAGATGGATCAAAATTTGGCCAGTCACTGCTGAACCAGCCGAATTTTAATCCATCTATGGCTGGCTCTGCTCTGTTCCCACCTCTGTTCCAACTTTTGTTTGACCTTATTTTCTATAGGGAATGGATATTTGATAAGATGATTTTGTATAGGCCTTTGACTATGTCCAGCCTTCCAAAGATAAGCTACAGATGTAAAATATACACAGAGTTATTTTGTACGTCCCTTTGCAAATCTTATGGCACAAACATGGACAGATTTCTACAAATAAGATTATGTTCTTTAAAAAATCCAAGAAAGTTTATTAATGACAAGTAGAGCGTCAATCATTGTACAACCAGATTTAACATAAAAAACATCGTACTTGAAGTTCCAGCAGAGTATAAAATCCTTCCAAGAAACATGGCTTCACGTTTCTGCCACTGAACAAGAGGAATTAAGGACTAGTAGCTGGCAGGCTTCTCTGTGGTATCCTAAATCTCCTGATCTATTATTTATGGCTTGTGGAGAGTCTATGATGCACATCTACGTCAAATGGACAAAAGGGAAGCTAGATGGAATGATATGCAACCAGAGAGTTCGGGAGATTGAACATGGGAAACAAAAGCAATAGTAAAATGGAAAAAATTCACATGTGAAAAAGCACAGGAAACTTCTACACCAAGTCACATGAATATATATATATATATATATATATATATATATATATATATATATATAAAAAAATGTGAAAAAATATCTTGAAACGACTAAATATTGTACTCAGAGAATTGTTAGCTAATCTATACAATATTAAAACAAGTTTCAAAACTCCCAGTTCCACCAAGCAAAGAGAGACCCCCTCAAAAGTTAACTACTACAAAAAAATCAACCTCCACCAATGAAGAAAATCTGAATATAGTGTCAGCCAACTAATTCTGAGAATACGACATATAGATTTTACTCCTTAGCATGCTAAAAGCCTGTGGTTGCCCGGATAACAGGATCTTTTTAATTGCACAAACCTATGTGGGTGTATAAGAAACAAAATACTGAACTAAAAACAAAACATATTTCTCTGCAGAGAAATTGTGAGTCCACTTGTTAAGGGGAGAGGGTAAATGACTCATACATAAGAGAATGTGTGATAAGAGAATAGTAGGAAGGCAAAGCAACAGGGAAACCTAGTATGAATTCATTATTTTTTAAATGAGAAGGAAAAGAAGGTGCCAAAATGACAATGATCACAAAATGTATTTGGGAAACCAGAGCTGCGGTGCCAGTACGACAGTAAAACCCTGTGCATACATTATAACTGGTTACAAAAGCCTCTGAGGGTCAGAGCATAGGAAAAGCAAACTGACAGCAGTTCATTTTCTTCATTTGGTGTAACAGGCCATTCCAAGGCTCAGAAGAATATACTTACACACGTATTGCAAGAGCCAAACCAATCACTTTCTTTTGAATTTCAAGTCAGAGGTGCACGCAAATCTATTGCAAACCCCTATGGTTCCCAGTGAGTTAAGAAGAGACATCCTGACACCCCAAATAATAGAGAGCCCAGCAAAAGACTCTTTCCTGAGCGAGGCTTTGTAGCAGCACATCCTGAGTAGAAGGTAAGAAGTGAAGAGATCGGTTTTTGTGTAGGATCCCTCATGAGCACTTCCAGACACATATAGCCAGACTTCCCCCAAAGAACATGTACAGAAGGTTCTTTACTTCATGTGTGATCTCAAAACCAAAACCCTCTCCAATCACTACATGCCACGATGAGCCAAACTTCTTGTCCATAGTCTCTTTTATCATTTTTGCTGCACTCTGAAAAAGAAAAAATTCAGAATGTTAGAAAAACCTATAAAGGGGTATATTTATAAAGCAGTGAATATAATATTTACCAAATGTTCACAGATGGTTAATCATTTCCTGTAACACAAAAACACAAGTATCAGGAAGATTAACCTGCAGTGAATATTTTTTAACTGTCAATATGACCCTATAGTGGGATTATGATTACTGTATGTATGTATGTATGTATATATATATATATATATATATATATATATATATATATAAAATGCACTTGTGAGTTTTTATCATGATAATCTAAAAATGTTAAAAGCACAGAATTACGTTTTTTTTTTCCTGTAGTGTTAACCTTTAAATTACAGAATGTGACAACATTCATATTTTATAAATGTGGCCTATAATTTTTTTTTTCATGATATATACTCAGCATCATTCAACCTTGCTACCAAACAACTCCTGGGATAAGATATTAACCAAAGAGGGAGTGCATTTTCAATGAGTCAGCCAATCCTTAAACTTTCATTGTGAGAAGGAACAGTAAAACATAACAATTTATGTCAAAAGCAGGAAGCAGCGCTTGCACATCTACCATACAAATAGGGAGCACTATGTTTATACAGTATGTATATTAAAAATTTTACACGGAAACAGTTTCTTTTTTTAACCACTTGACCTCCAGAAGGTTCTACCCCCTTCATGACCAGGACATTTTTTGCTATTCAGTACTGTGCTGCTTTAACTGGCAATTGTGTGTTCACGCAACACTGTACCCAAATGCAATTTATATCTTTTTTTTTTTTTTTTACACAAAAGGATCTTTCTTTTGGTGGTATTTGATCACCACTGGGTTTTTAATTTTTTATTATATAAAAAAAAAAAAATAAAGACTGACAAAAAAAATAAAAAAATAAAAACAAATTTTCTGTTATAAAACATATCCAATAAAAAAATATAAAACAATTTAGACCAAAATATATTCTACTACATATCTTTGGTAAATTATAGTAATATATAGTAATTGGTTTGTGCGAAAGTTATAGTGTCTACAAACTATGATATACATATATATTTGAAAACTGATCAACCCTGATGTACTTACTGACATTTCTTGAGGCCCCAAAATTCCAGGACAGTACACATAACCCCAAATGACCCCTCTTTGGAAAGTAGACGGTCTGCGGTATTTAGTAGAGGCATGACAAGTTTTTCGAAGTTGTAATTTATTGTCACTTTTTTGGGGGAAGATTAAGAAATTAAATAAAACTTTTTTTTAATTTTTCTATTTTTTTTTTCCATACATCCTGTAATCAGAGTAGCTCAGTTTCACCATATTGAAACTATACTACTTTGGGGGGGGGGGGGGGGGGGAAGCAATAGTTTTGGCTGTCATGAATAGGTTTCCCATTCATGACAACTTGCTTATGGTTGTGATCTGTGATTGGCTACAACTAATCACATGGTAAAGGTAGCCAGGTACCATGTGATTGCCATGGGCCAAATCACAGATCACAACAGTATGTGATCGCTATCACATGATACTCAGTTACAGGACACAGCAGTCACAGAAGGGGCGTGCTGTATGCTCCTAACCCAGAAGGGGCAGAATCACGTATATATACATAAGACTATGCCTGTAGCTGCTGCCCTGCCACAGTAAATCTACTGTGGTGGGGTGGCAAATTGTTAAGAATTAACAGATATTAGGTCACTGTCATTCACACTAGGTGTGCTGGCATGCATTGATCATGCCAGTACATATACACTGTAAAAGCAATGTATTTAAATTAGCAGCAGTTCCCACCAATGCATTGTGTTGATGTATACTGAAGAAGAAAGAAAAAAAAAAAAAGTAGCAATACAGTGCATTTTAACATGATATCGCACGTGTGTTCACCTGCACTCAAAGTACACACTGCAGTGTGAATGGCCCCTAATAACATTATTTACAGAGGTCTTTTTCTGTACAGCTGAAATGTCACTAGTGCCACTTTATTTTACCAAGGTGTCCTGTTGTGCATGTTATATTTCCTATTTACTGGAAAACATACACATAAATGGATTCGATAAAACCAGCTAGCAGGGGTTAGATTAAAACTACATTGTTTAGCATGTAATGCACTCCCTGGGTCATTTGTTAACATCATGTTACAACCTGGGGTTGTCTGCACAGCATATCGACAATTTTATGCAATTTTAGTCAGATGGGGGGTACAGTCACAGATGGGGTGCAGCTTTTGCGCGAGTGCTGCGTTGATGGAGTGCGAAGACGCAGTTAAACACAGCAGTTTAACTAAAGCAGGATAACTCAAGCAGCAAGGAGATACAACAAGAAACTCTACTGCATGCTGGACAGACTGCAAGCAAACACCCTGGGAAACATCTCTTACAAGTCTGAGTCCTACTCCGTGAACCTTTTAATATGTCCCGTCTACTCCTTTTCATATTACTTTCCTGCGTTCCAAAAATCTCACTTCTTTATCCCTCTGCTCCACCTTATACATCTCACCCTCACTTCTACCATCTCGCTACTGCTGCTCTCATCACCTCCTGCTGATACTTCACTCTCCTGCTGACCCAAACACCAGGACTGGAAGACGTGCACTCGTGTACATCTCGCTCCAATGTTACTTTCATCACCCTTCTTCTCATAACCTCTGGGGATAGCTCCCCAAACCCTGGTCCTCCAGTATTTCACTCCCACTCCAGGCATCCTCTTTCTTCCAGGAATAGCCGCAATCCCTTCAATTTGACATCAGTCCCCATGCTCCCAAAAACCACCCTCCCTTTTTCATGTGCGCTCTGGAATGCCAGCTCTGTCTGTAATAAGCTTACCTCTGTCCATGAAATTTTTGTCTCCTGCTCCCTTAACCTACTAGCAATTACAGAAACCTGGCTCCAAGCAGCAGATTCTGCTTCCCCCGCAGCACTTTCCTATGGAGGCCTCATCTGGACCCACTCACCCAGACCCAGTGGTCGGAAAGGTGGTGGGGTTGGTTTGCTTCTATCCCCACTGAGCACCTTTCAAGTCCTCCCTAACCCTCCCTCTCTATCCTTCTCTTCTTTCGAGACTCACTGCATCCGGCTGTTTTCTCCCATTTCTCTGAGGATTGCAGTGATCTATCGGTCTCCTGGACCGGTGTCCCGCTTTCTTGATGATTTCTCCGCCTGGCTACCCTACTTTCTCTCCTCTGAACTACACACTATCATTCTCGGAGATTTTAACATCCCTATTAATGTCAACAACCCGGCTACATCCCAACTCTTCAACCTAACCTCATCTTTTGCATTACCACAGTTTATACAGTTCTCCACTCACTCTGATGGGAATATATTAGACCTTGTTTTCTCCCATCTTTGCACTCCCTACAACCTCACAAACACCCCCTTTTCTCTCTCTGATCACAATCTCATCATCTTTACAGTGTCCTCATCTTCAAACACCTATCCCTCCAAGCAGCAAACAATTACCCGCAGAATCCTTTACAACTTGAACTCTGCTCCTTTCCACTCTGCAACTGACCAACTCTATGACAGAATCTCTCCCCTGCCCTGACCTGGCCACTGCTGTCTACAACAGTTTGCTTTTATCCGCATTAGACTCATTTGCTCCTCTAACAACAAGAAAGAATCAGGCCCCGACCATTACAACCTTGGCAGACTGACGACACCAGAAATATAAACGACATAGTCGTGCACTGGAGCGATTGTGGCGTAAAACCAAATCCCAGCAAGCATTCACCCGATATATATCTGCTTTCTTAACATACAATTCCTCCCTTCATGATGCCAAACAAGTCTACTTTGTCACTCTTATTAATACCTTGTCATCCAGTCCTCGTCGTCTCTTCTCTACTTTTAACTCTCTACTTTCTCCACCTCCACCCAGTACCTTACTCACTGCTCAAGAGATTGCAAATCATTTCAAAAACAAGATTGACGCAATTCGTAGGGGCATCGCCACTGCACAGCCATCCATCTCACTTAGCATACCTTATACTAAACCTCCCTCAACACTTTCCTCTTTTGACCTTGCTACTACCGAAGAGGTCACTAAGGTTTTCTCAGAAGCCCGTATCACTACCTGCCCCCTGGATCCTGTCCTCTCACAACTACTATGGTCACCCTCTTATTCCATCCTATACTCCCTCACTCACATCTTCAATCTTTCCCTCTCTACTGGTGCCTTCCCCTCCCCTCTAAATCATGCGCACATCACTCCCATACTTAAAAAGCCCTCCCTGGACCCTACCAACCTGAACAACTTAAGACCTCTCCCTGCTGCCATTTACCTCTAAACTCCTAGAACGCTTAGTCTACAATCGCCTGAGCTCCCACTTCACCAACAACAACAACCTTCTTGACCCTTTACAGTCTGGCTTTCGCGCACTACACTCCACTGAAACTGCCCTACTAAAACTCACTAATGATCTACTAACAGTTAAAACCAATGGCCACTACTCCGTACTCTTACTACTTGACCTCTCTGCGGCTTTTGATACGGCTGACCATCCCCTCCTCCTCAAAAAACTCCACTCTCTTGGTCTCAGAGACTCTGCTCTCTCCTGGTTCTCCTCCTACCTATCGCAGCACTCCTTCAGCGTTACCTATAATGCTGCCTCCTCCTCTTCACTCCGTTTCTGTAGGGGTCCCTCAAGGTTCTGTCCTTGGATCCCTTCTCTTCTCCATCTACACCTCCTCCCTTGGTCACTTGATAAACTCCCATGGCTTTAAGTACCATCTCTATGCTGATGACACACAAATCTATCTTTCTACCCCTCACCTCACCCCTTCAGTCTCCTCTCGCATTACTAACCTAGTAAGCGACATATCGACATCGATGTCACTCCACTTCCTCAAACTCAATCTTTCCAAAACTGAGCTCTTATATTCCCCCAGCTCGTGCCCCCTCCCCAGACTTCTCCATCAAGATCAATAACACAATCATCAGTCCCTCCCCTCATACCAGGGTACTAGGTGTAATCCTAGACTCCCAGCTGTCCTTTCACCCCCAAATCCAATCACTGTCAAAATCTTGTAGACTTCACCTCCGCAACATCTCCAAGATACACCGTTCCTAAGCACGGAAACCACTATGCAACTTATTCACTCCCTTTTTATATCTTGCCTTGACTATTGCAACTCCCTCCTCATTGGCCTACCGAATTGCAGGCTATCCCCTCTTCAGTCTATCACGAATGCTGCTGCCAGACTTATCCACCTTACTAACCGTTCTGTATCTGCCACCCCTCTCTGCCAATCCCTCCACTGGCTTCCCATTGCCCAACGGATAAAATTCAAAACATTAACAATAACGTATAAAGCCATTTATAACTCTGCCCCAAATTACATCACCGATCTTGTCTCTAAATATCACCCAAACCGTACTCTCCGCTCCTCGCAAGACCTCCTGCTCTCTCTCCCTGGTCTCCTCCTCCCATGCTCATCTCCAGGACTTCTCCAGAGCTTCCCCATCCTCTGGAACTCTCTACCCCAATTTATCAGACTATTGCCTACTCTGCTCACTTTTTGGCGATCTCTGAAAACCTATCTCTTCAAGGAAGCCTATCCTGCCCTCAGCTAATAATGGAATCTTCTACTCTTCCTACCAGTCCATCCCCCACAGTTACTACCTTTTGTACCACTAGCCCCTCCTCCTAGATTGTAAGCTCCAAGGAGCAGGGCCCTCCTTTCCTCTTGTATTGAACTGTATTGTTGCTGTATCGTCTCCCGTTATATTGTAAAGCGCTGAGCAAACTGTTGGCGCTATATAAATCCTGTATAATAATAATAATAATAATAATGCAACAAGCCACCCAGTTCAAAAGTAAGCGTACAGAAAATAAAGTGTGAAAAGGAGAAAAATACTCCCCATTGATTTTGGGGGGACTAATGTCTAGCCATTCTTCTGTCATGAAGCCCATTCTATAATAATGTATGAAGAGAGCGAAGATTTTTAGTATCCTAAGCAGCCCTCTGGAAGTAGTATATACAGCTACAGAGATAACTACTCTGGACCAATTTAAAGTAATTGGAGTTTGGCTTTAAAGTGGTTGTAAAGACTCAAGGTTTTTCACCTTGACGCATTAAGGTAAAAAACCTTCTATGTGCAGCATCCTCCCCCGCCCCCCTAATACTCACCTAAGCCCCCCTCTCAATCCAGCGATGTACACTAGATTCTCAGATATCCCAGGATTCCCTCTACTCATTGGCTGAGACAGCATCGGGAGTTGTCAATCACAGCCAGTAAGCCAATGAGGAGAAGGGACAGGGCCGTGCTGCGGCTTTGCGTGTGAATGGACACATGGAGCAGCAGCTGGGGAGTGTTCATGCTCGGGTACCCACATAGCAAGCTGCTTGTTGTGGGGGAACCCGACCAGAGGGACAGGCCAGGAGTGCTGGCGGGGGACCCGAGAAGAAGATGATCCAAGCTGCTCCGTGCAAAACCACTGCACACAGCAGGTAGGTATAGACATATGTGTGATTTGTTTTTTTTTAAATATCAGCCTTTAAAATCATTTTAAGTGATCCTTGAGTATCCCTAAGCTGTGACATGTACAGTCAGGTCCATAAATATTGGGACATCGACACAATTCTAACATTTTTGCCTCTATACACCACCACAATGGATTTGAAATTAAACGAACACAATATGCTTTAACTGCAGACTGTCAGCTTTAATTTGAGGGTATTTGCATCCAAATCAGGTGAACGGTGTAGGAATTACAACAGTTTGCATATGTGCCTCCCACTTGTTAAGGGACCAAAAGTAATGGGACAATTGGTTTCTCAGCTGTTTCATGGCCAGGTGTTTGTTATTCCCTCATTATTCCAATTACAATGAGCAGATAAAAGCTCCAGAGTTCATTTCAAGTGTGCTATTTGCATTTGGAATCTGTTGCTGTCAACTCTCAAGATGAGATCCAAAGAGCTGTCACCATCAGTGAAGCAAGCCATCATTAGGCCGAAAAAACAAAACAAACCCATCAGAGATATAGCAAAAACATTAGGCATGGCCAAAACAACTGTTTGGAACGTTCTTAAAAAGAAGGAATGCACCGGTGAGCTCAGCAACACCAAAAGACCCGGAAGACCACGGAAAACAACTGTGGTGGATGAGCGAAGAATTATTTCCCTGGTGAAGAAAACACCCTTCACAACAGTTGGCTAGATCAAGAACACTCTCCAGGAGGTAGGAGTATGTGTGTCAAAGTCAACAATCAAGAGAAGACTTCACCAGAGTGAATACAGAGGGTTCACCACAAGATGTAAACCATTGGTGAGCCTCAAAAACAGGAAGGCCAGGTTAGAGTTTGCCAAACGACATCTAAAAAAAGCCTTCACAGTTCTAGAACAACATCCTATGGACAGATGAGACCAAGATCAACTTGTACCAGAGTGATGGGAAGAGAAGAATATGGAGAAGGAAAGGAAGTGCTCATGATCCTAAGCATACCACCTCATCAGTGAAGCATGGTGGTGGTAGTGTCATGGCGTGGGCATGTATGGCTGCCAATGGAACTGGTTCTCTTGTATTTATTGATGATGTGACCACTGACAAAAGCAGCAAGATGAATTCTGAAGTGTTTCGGGCAATATTATCTGCTCATATTCAGTCAAATGCTTCAGAACTCATTGGACGCCGCTTCACAGTGCAGATGGACAATGACCCAAAGCATACTGCAAAAGCAACCAAAGAGTTTTTTAAGGGAAAGAAGTGGAATGTTATGCAATGGCCAAGTCAATCACCTGACCTGAATCCAATTGAGCATGCATTTCACTTGCTGAAGACAAAACTGAAGGGAAAATGCCCCAAGAACAAGCAGGAACTGAAGACAGTTGCAGTAGAGGCCTGGCAGAACATCACCAGGGATGAAACCCAGCATCTGTTGATGTCTAAGCGTTCCAGACTTTAGGCTGTAATTGACTGCAAAGGATTTGCAACCAAGTATTAAAAAGTGAAAGTTTGATTTATGATTATTATTCTATCCCATTACTTTTGGTCCCTTAACAAGTGGGAGGCACATATGCAAACTGTTGTAATTCCTACACAGTTCACCTGATTTGGATGTAAATATCCTCAAATTAAAGCTGAAAGTCTGCAGTTAAAGCACATCTTGTTTGTTTCATTACAAATCCATTGTGGTGGTGTACAGAGCCAAAAATGTTAGAATTGTGTTGATGTCGCAATATTTATGGACCTGACTGTATGTCGACTATTGGAAGACAGAAAATGGAAGAACCACACACCAGAACCCAGCCACTATGCAGAAAGGTAAAAATACGGCTTTAGCCTCAGATCCCCCTGACCGAACCCCTCTAAAGTATGTTGACTGTACCTCATTATTACTTGCAAACTTTTCACAGGCTGTAACACAAAGCTCCATGGTTTCTACACGCATTTCTTCTGGCATGTCCGTATGCTGCAGGAAGGAAACACTGGCTGTTAGAACAGGTTTTTGGCAATAGAACCTTTTATATTACATACTAAAGTTCATCCTTGAAAAGTCAACACTCAAACAGAAGAAAAAAAAAAAACTCAAACTGAAAGCACCTACCTTTTCTTTTAATCCAAAACACACCAACTTTCATGGTCTGACCTCATTGGGGTTTATATATTAAAGCTTCAGTGCTGGTTCACATACACTATATTGCCAAAAGTATTGCCTGCCTTTACACTCACATGAACTTCATTGGCATCCCAGACTTAGTGTGTAGGGTTCAATATTCAGATAGCACACCGTTTGCAGCTATAACAGCTTCAACTATTCTGGGAAGGCTGTTCACAAGGTTTAGGAGTGGAAATGTTTGAACATTCTTCCAGAAGCGCATTTGTGAGGTCAGACACTGATGTCGAACAAGAAGGCTTGGCTCGCAGTTTCCACTCTAATTCATCCCAAAAGGTGTTCCATCGGGTTGAGGTCAGGACTCTGTGCAGGCCAGTCAAGTTCCTCCACCCCAAACTCACTCATCCATGTCTTTATGAACCTTGCTTTGTGCACAGGTGCCCAGTTGGGAGCATGGAATTGTCCAAAATGTTTTGGTATGCTGACACCTTAAGAGTTCCCTTCACTGGAACTAAGGGGCCAAGCCCAAACCCTGAAAAACAACCCCACACCATAATCCCCCCTCCACCAAACTTTACACTTGGCACAATGAGGTTAGGCAAGAACCGTTCTCCTGGCAACCACCAAAGCCAGATATGCCAATCGAATAGCCAGACAGAGAAGCAGGAATGGTCACTTCAGAGATCACGTCTCCACTGCTCTAGAGTCCAGTGCCAGCATGCTTTACACTACTGCATCCGATGCTTTGCATTGCACTTGGTGATGTAAGGCTTGGATGCAGCTGCTCAGTCATGGAAACCCATCCCATGAAGCTCTCTACGCACTGTGCTAATCTGAAGTCCACATGAACTTTGGAGGTCTTTAGCTATTGACTCTGCAGACAGTTGGCAACGTCTGCGCACTGTGCGCTTCAGCACGTTCTGACCCTACTCTGTCATTTTACGTGGCATACCACTTTTTGGCTGAGTAGCTGTTGTTCCCAGTTGCTTCCACTTTGTTATAATACCAATAACAGTTGACCGTGGAATATTTAGTAGCAAGGAGATTTCACAGATGGACTTATTGCACAGGTGGCAACCCATCACAGTACCACTCTTGAATTCAATGAGCTCCTGAGAGCGACTCATTATTTCACAAAAGTTTGTAGAAGCAGTCTGCATGCCTAGGTGCTTGATTTTATATACCTGTGGCCATGGAGGTGATTGGAACACTTAAATCCAATGATTTGGAGGGGTGTCCCAATACTTTTGGCAATATAGTGTATATGCGGATTGGATGCAGTTTGAACCTCATCCAATCCGCATGACATGTGAAATACCATGGCTTCTTATGGTGCCTGTTCACATTTGCCCAATCCACTGGCGGTGCGAATTCAGTGCGGTCTGAAAAAGAGCCATGTACGATTTCTGACCAGTGCCTTCAGGTTCAGGTGCAGATTACAGGCTATTGATTTCTATGGGAACCAATTCTAAACGGCATATGTGTGCACAGGATAAGAACTTGAGCTAATCCTGTCCTGAACCTGATGTAAACCTGGCATGAACCACTGAACGCCTGATTTTGTACAGCCAAAACCTTTTTAGTTTTACTCAGAGTAGGTAAATGTTTGAAGCACTACCCAGTTTTTACTACAGTCTGTGTCTCTGCTAGGTAGATTCCACCCTATTTGTCCTCGTGACAACTGCCACTAAGACAGAGTTGTCACAACAAAAAGAGGGGTGACAATTGTCTAAGAGAAATTTTGCACACTTTGTAGAGATCTCCTTTCACTCCCTGTTGTGTCGCTGGAACAGAAAGTAAAGACACAAAACCACAACAATAAACTGAAAGGGGTTTTAACTCTTCCTAACTTTTTCTACAACTGAAATAAGTATTAGCTATACATACACTTTAAGTAAACGTGTCTCATTTTATCAGGTGCCAGCTATTAACACTGTTCAAGAATAGGTTACCCCAACATTTCATATTCTTGATATGTGTTTGGTGCTGTACCATGTAATATATATATATATATATAAAAATAAAAGGAACACTTTGAAAACACATCAGATCTCAATGGGGAAAAATATAATTCTGGATACTGGATCACTGACCCACCACAAAATGCTCATGCTGAACAATGTTACAGGCAACATAACATTCTCAATGGCTTCTCCAGACCCGTTCACGTCAGTCACATGTGCTCAGGGTTAACCTGCTCTCAACTGTGAAAAGCACAGGGCGCTAGTGGCAGACCTGCTAATTCTGGTGTTCAATGGAAAATGCCAATAGAGCTCTATGGTGTTGGCAGTGAGCACAGGACCCACTAGAGGACGTCGGGCCCTCAGGCCACCCTCATGAAGTCTGTTTCTGATTGGTCAGAAACATTCTCACCAGTGGCCTGCTGGAGGTCATTTTGTATGACTCTGGAAGGGCTCATCCTGTTCCTCTTTGCAGAAAGGAGCATATCATGCTGGATATCTATACTGATATGAACTGTGTAATGTGTTAGGAATGCAAGGATGTCCCATCGTTTGATGGAAATGAAAATTATCAACCTACAGAGGACTGAATTAAAAAACACCTTGAAAATCAATGTGGAAAAAATTATACAGCAGGCTAGTCCATTTTGCTGAAATTTAATTGCAGCAACTCAAAATGGTACTTAGTAGTTTGTATGGCTCTTACGTGCTTGTATGCATGCCTGACAACGTGGGAGCATGCTACTAATGAGACAACGCATGGTGTCCTGGGGTATTTCCTCCCAGATCTAGACCAGGGCATCACTGAGCTTCTGGACAGTCAGAGGTGCAACCTGGCGTTGTCAGAAGGACTGAAACATAATATCTCAGAGGTGTTCTATTGGATTTAGGTCAGGAGAGTGTGGGGGCCATTCAATGGGATCAATTCCCTCATCCTTTGGTCAGAGACATTCACACCAGTGGCCTGCTAGAGGTCATTTTGTAGGGCTCTGGCAGTGCTCATCCTGCTCCTCCTTGCGCAACAGAGCAGATACCAATCCTGCTGATGGGTTAAGGACATTCTATGGCCCTGTCCAGCTCTCCTAGAGTAACTGCCTGTCTCCTGGAATCTTTTCCATGCTCTTGAAACTGTGCTGGAAGACATAGCAAACCTTCTGGCAATGGAACTTCTGAAAGTTGTAAGTGAAAAATGATAACCTCCGATTTTTAGAGTAAATTGTTTTTATTTACAGGTTTGCGTACCTTCCGTTTTCCCCATTGCACAAAAAGGCGCAATTTAAAATGTGCAAATATTTGTTATTTAATAACTCAACACAGTTTTAACTTTTATATTAAGCATTAATTGTGTAAATTTTGCCATGTATGTATCCACTAATAATGATTTTAATGCATTTTTAGCGAAAATATTGTTTTGAGAAACATTTGCACAAATATCACAGGGACTAAAAAAATCAATACTACCTTCCTTTTATTCTACTGGTCCTATGCTTTCAGAAAATATATTATTTGGGGGGGTCTTGTACAAACTCTGAAAGCTGTAAAAGAAAAAAAAAAAAAAAAAAAAAAAAAAAAATGCAAAACCAGCCTGGCCACTTGAGTTTAAAATTGGAAAGCAGGGTCTGGCTGCAAAAGGGTTAAAACACACGCACTCGGGAGTGTCACCTGCAAAGAATATCTGGTGAATGTCAGATTCACTGCTTTATAAAAGAGCATTGTCTGCACCCTATTAGTTGAATGGTCTTAGAAAGAAATTGGTAAGAATACAACTCCAGGGGTGTTCTGTACACAATCAAAATACAGTCCAGTTTACAATACTGCAAATTAGGGACTGTTTTGGGTAGTTTTTTAAACTAACATTAGTTGCATATTAAATATTTTAATAAATTAAATAAACTTTCAGTTAGCATGTTTAATACTTTTTCCCTGAATCATTCCAGTTTAATAAACATAAATTAATTTGTGAACTTATTTGTTTTGGTTTCTTTGTATTCATGGGTTGTTACAGACATGTGGTGAAAGTTTCATGTCAATAGCACCTTTAGAAATATATTTACTGAGAAAAAACAGCAACGTGTTCAATACTTATTTTACCCACTGTATAAAACCAACAGGTCAGAAAAAAATAAAAAAACAGAATCACTGAGTTGGAAAAAGGATCACCCCCTTGTGTCAGTATTTTGTTGAATCACTTTTTCCTTTAATTACAGCCTTTAGTCTGTTGGGATATGTCTCTACTAACTTTGCACATCTAGACTTTACATTTATTGCCCACTCTTCTTTGCAGAACTACTCAAGTTCAGTTAAATTTAATGGTGACCATTTGTGGACTGCAGTCTTAAAATTCTACAGCTTTTCAATGGTGTTGCGGTAGGCTTCTTGGTGGCCTCTCTGACGAGCTTCTCCTGGCTCTTTCAGCAAGTGTGGAGCGACTTCCTGATCCAGGGAGGGTCTATGTTGTACCAAATACCTCCCACTTCTTAACCACTTCAATACCGGGCACTTATACCCCCTTCCTGGCCAGGCCAATTTTCAGCTTTCAGAGCTGTCGCACTTTGAATGACAATTGCGCGGTCATGCAACATTGTATCCATATAACATTTTTATCACTTTTTTTCACACAAATAGCGCTTTCTTTTGGTGGTATTTAACCACCACTGGGTTTTTTATTTTTTGCTAAATAAAACAAAAATCACCTGAAACCTTTGAAAAAAAAAAAAACACACTTATCTTCGTTTCTGTTATAAAATTTGCAAATAAATAACATTTATTCATAAATGTAGGTCAAAATGTATTCTGCTACATTTCTTTGGTGAAAATAATAATAATAATAATTGAATTTGTATTTTTTTTTCAAATGTTCCTATTATTTTTTTAATTTATTATTATATATTTTTC